GAGACATGCAACAGACATAATAGATCCGTTGCGGTCTTTTAAACCACACCGTCCAAAAAATCGGACGGCACCGAGCCTATGTTCATTTTCACCCATAAGCGTTGCGTAGTAGCTTCCTATATATATATATATATATATCAGGCAATGAGAAGGAAGTCATGAGAGGATCACAAGCAATGGATAATGAAAAATATCACAAATAAAATATTGCTCTCATTGTAATTCAAATTTTAAAAACAAAGAAGTTAGACTGATTCCACCAGCAACCCCTGAAATCTACTCTCAGTCATGACTAACTCTGAGTCATGTCCTGGCCTACATGTCACTGCAAAAAACTCAGTAGTTGGAAATTTTAAAAATGCATTGAAATAGCAAGACTGGAAAACAAAATATAAGAAACATAAACAATGAAAGAGCAAATTCCCTGACAGTATTTCATGACAAAATTACAAAATTTAAAATTTGTGACAGTCATTAGTAGTTGAAAATTTTAAAGATGCATTGAAATAGGTAGCTTGGAAAACAAAATATAAGAAACAAAAAAATAAAAAAGTGAACTCTTGATGGTATTTCATGACAACAATTACAAAATTTAAAATTTGGAAGATTGGTGTTTGAGTAACATGACTTTCAAATATTTTAAGTCAATTGGACCAATGGAAAAGACTTCAGAAAATAGAGAAAACACAAATCTCCTGATACTTTTCATTGGACATTTTTTGAACATTCAAAAAACCAAAATCAGTGAGCCCACATAACTGTTCTAAGCATCCACTGAGAACCACTGCAGATGTGGGTGATTTGGAAAATGTTATCAAATGCCAGGGACATGAGATGCATGTGGCATTACAGATTTTATAAATATTTGAGTAGATTTTCAAAATATTAATACGAATTTGTTAGGTTCTTCCTGTCAATTTCTTAAAGATGCCAAAGAGATCACAAACTGGTGGCGTCAGAGGGGTAGCCAGAGAGTAGCTAGCACAAGGGAACACAACCCATATTCCTAAAAAATTGTATCTTTTAAACATGCTACACGACTTGAAACCACTCATATGTATATCTACAATTGCCAATGAATAAATTTTGCTGTCAGAAAAAAAATAAGATTAAAAAAACTGTGTATATGTAAAAGGTTGTAACTTATTTGTGTTCATACCTCATGTTTTGGCACAATATATATATATAGGAAAACACTACAAAACGGCTATAGGTGAAGCCCTACTACGGCTTTATCATTGTCCAAAGTTCATCGCACGGTCACATATGTCAGATAGTGTTTGAATTTTAATATTTTTTTTTAATAATCATAATGATCTGAAATTTTGTAAGTATGTGCGCCTTAGTGAAATGCACCTGAATAAAATATAAAAAAAAAAAAGTTGGATGATAAAAATGACCTAAAATACTCCTATGATGTTTCAGGGATATTTTCATCATTTTATTTTATGGCTATTATTTTTTTATATTTTATTTTGGTGCGACTAGGTCATGTGTACGTATGCCCCAAATTTTAGATAAATCTGATTGATAAAAAAATTATTAAAATTAAAATACTACCAGACAACTGTGACCGTGTGATAAACTTTGGATGGTGCAGTGTTTCCCCATATATATATATATATATATATAAGAAAGGATCCAAAAAAAAACTGGAGAAGAATATATATTGTTAATCGATAAGAAAGGATCCAAAACTGGAGAAGAATATATATTCTTAACCAATAAGAAAGGTGCAAAACTGGAGCAGAATATACAAGAGTGTGCTGTGTGCTTCAGTTGTCAAGGATACAACCCATTCTTTAATCTTTGTTTATGTTTATAGCATTACTTCCATCAAAGCATACCAATTTTATTATACTGTACCTGGGATGTTTAGCAATAAGCCCCATTGCCCTAATAAAATCATTCATTCCCATATAATCCATTTCCATCACTCCAATTATCCAATGAGTTCCAAAAGCGTTATGTAGTTCTAAACAATCAAGACGATTGAAACCAGCCTGAAAATTTAAGCCCCTGACTAATCCCAGAAGTGCGCATACCAAAGTTTCATCACAAAATGTTTTAAGAGATTCTATCAAGTAAACTAACACTAGCATTATCAAAGTCATTTGAAGCATGCAAGCCTTATTCAACCAACATTTGCATCAAATAAGATATGCAGCCTACACCGAATACCTCTTGTAAGCGCCAAAGGCCTAGACATCTTTGTATGGACACAAGAAGATGGCACATAGCAGCGACATGCTCATGTTCCATCAATTTTGGCATTTGGGAAAACTTTGGCCCCTGATGGCAACAAAAGTAAAATCTAAGTTGTTGATCACATAACATAAATATCACGCTTATGTTGTTTATGTTTAACTCATATCTCTTGTAACAAAATAAGAAGCTGCGTAAGTGACATACCTCAAACACATATAACAGTAGATGCACTTTATTATTGTTCCCTACTAGAGCAGCTGCTAGTGCCTCTTGAGGAGATACAAAGGCAGAAAAAGAGAAAAAGTCTGCATCACACAGAGGTGCTACCCATTTCGCAACATCTCTTGGTAAAAAACCAAGCTGGACATAATCTGTGTCAATAATATTTGTGTCAGTTGGGGAAATGCCAATCCAAGAATGAAGAACAAAAAAGGCAAATCATTTATTTGTGTTGGAAGATAATCATTGAAGACACAACCAAGAAATACTTCGAACAAAAGTGAGAAAGTAAATGAACCCAAAACTTTGCAAGTAAATGTACAAAATATACATAAAATTTTATCTTCTTTTTTTTATGGATAAAGAATGACATTATAGCTGTAAATGTGTTTCAAAAAGCGCTAGGCAGCACCTAGGCAGTCGGGGGAGTCCAGGCCACCCAACGCCTAGGCGGGGCGCCTAGAACCTAGGCAGCCTAGTAGAATTTTTTTTTTTTTGGGGTTTTCTCTCTCTAAAATAGCATGTAATGGCTTTTAGGTTTCAAATGAACCTAAAACCCACAATTTTGCCCCTTTAATATTAAAAAAATGACCCAAAAATACCCTCAAGGAGCCGCATTTGCACCTGTGGACGGCCGCCAAGGCTGGTTCTCGAGCGCCTAGGCGGGCTCCCAGGGATATCCAGCTAGTTTGGCCGCCTAGGCTTGGGCGATAGGCCCAGGCCTTTTGGACCGCCTAGGCGCTGGGTGGTCTGCTTTTTAAAACTCTGGCTGCAATGATAAAATGTTGGGAAGAAAAGAAGAAGTGTGATTGGCCAATTAGGGACAATATGAAGCCACACTACGCTCTGGCACTGGGAGGGGTCTTGACCAAAGTCAAAGCCTTTAGCGGAATGACCTCCTTCACCTCAAGGTGTTCTAAAGATCAATTTGATTTCTATTAAGCAAAAATGAGGCTTCAGAGTTAGCCGACCCCAAATAGTTGGGAAAAGGCTATGATGATGATGATTTACCTGTTAAAGAGTAATCAGATTTGATCTAAACTTTAAACATTGCCAAATCATCTACGCAAGTTTAAACAAACCCACCAACGCATTGTACTCAGTGCGGATGGCTAGATTGATTTTGTTTATGATTTTTCACTTCATATAGACATCTCATATCAAAGGAGGTACAACAAATCATTAGGAGTACCTGAACCATTGATCCAACCAATTTTGGTTGAATAATTATAGTATAGAATTAATTTCACTGCTACATTTGCATTTCGACCCAATTAGGACACCATTGACATCCAAGGGCACATCAACATGTTTAGAAGGGTAGAGTACTTTTATTATCCACAATAAGTTTGTTGAGGTTCATATCCCCATCTACATAGTGATATTATTAACAACTATAATTGCTTGAAGATTGGCTTATTAATCGGGTTTTATATCTTTTTCAAGAGCTATTAGATACCTAACAGGTATCCCCAGTGAGAGAAAAACAAAACAAACATTTATATAAATAATAAAAAGACTCCATACTATATTTAAATCCCTAAATGATATATCACTACAAGTGGAAAATAGAAATTGGTCCCCCCCCCCCCCCCACCACACACACACAGCAGCAACAACTCAAAAAAAAAAAAAGTAATAATAATAATAACAATGCTGATAATAATAATAAGCCGTTGCTATCCAAGAGCAGAGTGCTTTCATTGTCCTCAATAGTTTTGTAGGTTCACATCCCTATATACTGTAGCGACATTATTAACGACTATAATTACTTGAAGATTAGCTTATTAATTGGGTTTTATATGTTCTTTTATTACTATTTGACTCCTAATGAGCATCCCCAATGAGACATAAACATAACATAAGCTCAAGGAAAGAATAAGAAAGACTCCATTCTATAATTAAACCCCTAAATGATATATTACTACAAGCGGAAAAATAAAGGTTTGTTTAATACACCCCGCTGCATCACCAAACTAATAATAATAAGAACAACAACATCAACAGAAAAAATGAAGACCTAGTCAAGACAAAAACCTGGACCAATTCAACTTTGATTTAAACAGAATTTCTATATAAGCCTCACATCTGGGAATGAATGCATAAATCAAACAACCCACCAGAAAAATACTAAATCCAAAGGGAACAACTAGGAAAAACTCAAAAATCCCATAGGATCTGTTTTCAAAGCCAACCTTCCCCATGAATAGTCTCTTCTGAGCAATGAACTAGATCAGAAACTATGACGCTCACAGCATTGGGATCAGCAGGTATGTTGAAATTTCTTTTCAAGACAACCTCTGACTTTCCATAAGCATTTCCTCTGCAATTCCCAAGGATAGAAGCAAGAGACCTCAGTTGTTCACCATTTGTATCAGCGTTAGAACGAAACCGGTGAGTGAGACCTACTACAGATGCTTGCACAGAGCCAAGAAAGCTTGCACCCACAAACTGCGAATGTATCGAGACAGGCATAGCCTACACAAAGATTTATCCAAGACAGAAGGGAAAAGTTAATAAACACCAAGCAATGAACTTAGGAGAAGTATACTACAGTCAAATTGACTACATACAATCATAGTCCATGGGGTCATGACTGTCTGATGGAATGAAGAATGCTTTGGGGGAGAGAGGAGAGGGTTGTGTGTGTGTGTGTGCTTTTTTTTTGGAAGTGAAGGGGGGGGGGGGGTGGGGGAGGGGCTGGGGGATTGGGATTTCCTGTTCTGGTTGGTCCCATTCACTACCATCACGCTCTGTATTTATCAGATAATCACAACCCTATGGACTACAGCTTTTCAAAATCCATTAAATCATCATATAGTTTCCTGAACAAAGTTTGACAATCATGTAACAAAAAAAAGTGATGCAGCATAACCCATTGCAAAAATGTGGGAGACAAAGTGCATTTGACACTTTAAATGCAAGAAACTTTGAATAGGGGTTAGCATTCTGAAATATATATCTTAATTTATCTCATAGAAGTGACTATGTGTTTATAAAGTTCTCAAGTTTATAATATTTTCTAAAATATCCGGAAAGAGTTCCAAGAACCATGGATGAACACAGAGTGAAAAAATTACTTTCTTACTTTACTACTGTTCATCAACAAATTCAATTAACACTCTAATATTCACATTCGTCTATGAAGTAGTAGAAAAATGGAAAACTTTCACGCATGAGCTTAACTATAAGTTTGCATTCTGATATTGATGCAAACCAGCTTAACGAAAAAAGATATGATGCAAACAAAATAAACAACTGTACATAATGTTGCATCCACAAATATCCATAAATATTATAAATTAAATTCAAATAAAATAAAGGAAAAAGTTTGAGACCCTAAACAATGAAATTAAGTCGCACCTCAAAAATTCATTAGATTAGGTATATTTCAATGTTGAAAGACCCTCAATTCGATCATCTCGACCTTTAGATGTATCGACATGAGAAATAATAGATTCAAGTTTTGGAAACAGTGCATCTTGTAATGTATTATCTAGGCCATCAATTTTCAAGATTTTCAAGTGTTCATAGATCCTCTCAATCTATACTAAATTTTTAATCTTTAAATTTTATAATTCAAGATGAAAATAAATTCTAAGGCCACCATAAAGATTTTTAATACTGAAACAACATATTATGGCACTATTTGAAGGTGCGCCTTACTTTGATTGTTTAGGGCCTCAGCGGCCTTATACAAACCACACCCAAAAATAAAATCAGTAATCGTAATAGAGGCCTTGTGAAGAATCATCGTTATCATATAGGGACTATTCGAAAAACACAAGCAAAAATATGAGAGGTTGTATATAAATAATACTATGTTGATGCCAGCAAACACTTGGGCCCCATTTGGATGTACTGGTAGAAATAACAGCCTTACCTTTACCTGCCCTTAGAGGCATTTATGTAAATAGCCACCCAAGAATGGTGGTAATCAGCCACTGGTTTACCTTTCTTTTTTGGCATCAGAGGTAAAATAGGCTTTCTTATTTTTTGACCGCTGATGCTAGAAGCTCGCTATTGGCCGTGTTTTGCCTGTAAATGGAGTTGATTCATGGAGTTGCACTACCGAAGAGTGGTGCGCCATGCCGGCACATGACCCATTCTTTCGCAACTCAACAGCAGTTTAATGCCACCAGGAAAAGTTGGACGGTAAATTGGCCCATCCAAATGGGGCATTATCAGTTATAGTTACTTTTGTTAATGCTTAACATTGTAGTAGTGATTGAGACCAAAGCAACTTACAGTTAAGACATGCATATGCTCCATCATATAAGGAGAGACGCGTTCATGCAAGCCAGGAATTGAAGCAATCAAATGAACTGAAGCCTTCTTGAAATCATACTTAGATAATTCTATGATCCAATGTGCCTGTCTTGGTACATCAATAACAAGAGATGCTATGAATCCCGCCAAATGAGCAGCAAAATCAGATTGTGAGCCTTTGTCTTCTCCCCATGATGATGAACGACTAAAAAGAGATGGAAGATCAAGTGTACTGCGAGGGAAATCTTGCCACCAGACGGTATTAGTAACCTTATTCCACTGCCAAAACGAAATTACACAATTAATGCAAAGAAGTATGTAATATGACATTCAATACGGTAGTGGATCAATAGCGCTGAGATATTTTGAGCACATAAATCTCAATTTTGAAATGTAATAATAAGATAAACATTTATTAAATAAAGAAATGAGATCAATTATTAGATAGAATTCATGAAGCAATCAAGAGCATATAACTAAAAAAGAAAAAAGCAGAAATCCAAGTCATTTGTTAAACCTCAAACTAAAAAAAGGCTTCTAAGAACGATACACATTATCAAGCCCAGTTTAGATCGTCTAGGACTAGACAAGAATATAACAGAAGAATGAAATATTTGCTATCCCCCAGTGAGAAAATAACTGAGACCAGCCACAAAAAGCATTTCAATTACAAGTAATGCCATAATAAACTGATGCCACAAAATTTTATTCCTAATCCCTTCTGAAACAGTATACGTGGAGCAAAATGAATGCAATCTCTTACATTAAAAGGAAAAAAAATGGATAGCAGAGATCTAAGAACTTGCAGAGCATTTGTGTATTTTTAGGCTCCAAACTTCTTTCACGTCACAACAGAGAATAAATAAAAGCCATCCCCTTCTATTGCTGAAAAGGAATATCAAGTGATGATTTATGTTGCTGCCAGAACTAGGACAGAACTTATCCTGATTAAAAGACCTCTGATACTGCATATTTCATCATCTCAGCTTTATTTTTCAAAGACAGAAAGTGCTTGTCAGAGAAATGAAGATACTTTGGTATCACTTCTTAGTCCATTTAACTACAAGTTGTTGCACTAACGCCACCTAGTTCCAACAGTTTTGACACCTTTCAATGGGTAAGAACCCACAGACGTGTTGATGAAAACCCTAGAATTAGTTCACAAATCCAGAAAGCTAAAGATCGTATGGGAAGAGAAACATGAAGCAATGTTTGGGACAACCAAAAACTCATTATTAAGCAATCACAATTATGCAGTATGCACCTGTGTTGAAACCAAATTTGCAGAAGTAATAACAACACGTATGCTATCTTCTCTCTGCAAGACAAACAATTTTGGATGATGGCATGCTACCCCTTGCCTCTTGCGATCTTTACCAAAAGCTATAGTATCTGGGAATGGAGGATAACTACAAATGAAAGTGCATTAATTATACAACACAAAATAATAAGTAGCTAAAGCTCAAGATTTTATTCCTTGAGAGCAGACTCCTAATAATGTAAAGTTCATTGTAGAGTGATTATAACCAAATATGCAAAAAGATTGTGAATAAATGAACAATACTCACATGACTATAAGGTTTGGATATTCCGGATAAGGCAACAAGTATCGGTCAGCACAATTAGGACTCCAACATCTCTCAGTATTATGACATGCAATGGTCATAGGTAAATTTTTGGGCACTTTACAGCATGTCAAAAACCTGCAAGTGTTTGTGCTTCAGATAAACAAACAAAAAAATAATGCTAATATATATATATATATATATATAAATACAATATTGGAGACATTAAATGACAGAAAGGCAAGTTTATGAAATGAAAGACACAAGAATATCGAACGAACAAATTTCATTCTTCTTGAGAAACGTACAATACATTGTACCGCATGAATTTTACACTTCTACTAAATACAATACTTTCCTAGTTATTGAAGAAAAAAGGCAAAAAAATGTAACAATTTCTACATAGACTTGGACACGCCAAACACACACACACACAGGCTAATTGTTTGGAATCGCTTCAACATTACTTCCTCATGACATGATTACATACTTTATGCTTATAAACTATTACTACAGTACCGAAATGGGAGGTAGATGGATCTGGGATTCCTCTTTTCATTTTAAACTAACTAAAGTATATCACAAATTATGTACGGATGTCCATTTGGATGGCAATAGAGAGCACCAACTTAAGCAAGAAGTTGAACACTTAAAACCTCTTGGGCTGGACTTTCACGTTTCTGCCATTTAATGCTCCTATGACCTATACGTTCATCTAATGTTAAAATTAGTCCTTGATTCTCTCCTGGGTATGCATTTTTTCTATCTGAATGTCAATGCCCATTCAGCTTTCAAGGTTTCCCCACAAGAGGAATCACCAAGTCGTAATCTGATATAGGCTGACAGGAGATGGTGAACAGCAAATAATAAAAGAAGGCTGGAATTTCAGCGTCCAAGGCAAAGTGGTGTTCTAGTTCCAGGTACAACATACTCAGCTATTCTTCATATGATTAATAATTCTCTAAAGTATGTCATGAAATGGATGCATTAGTGAGGACGAAACCATGCTTGCTCAAAGCTATCTACATCATTATATAAAGAATACACTGATAAATTTACAAGTTCAAAGCAAGCCAAACTCAATTCCATCAACAGAAAAAAGACAATGCCCCATAACGAATTGGAAAGAAGGTTAAAATATTTACATACCACATTATATCATTTGTAAATGTTGCAATGAATATGCCGGATAGACTCTCCACTGGTGTAAACAGATCGGGCAAAGACACTGTTGCAGGTTGGTCTGATGAATTCAGGCTCATAAACTCAAGGCGGTTCAAAAATATTGTCTTCCCTGATGAAAGAAAATCAATATCAATAGATTTCTCTGACTGAAGTCCTTCAATGCTTTTCCCTGACAAACCCTTGTCCGGATAACCAGGCATTCTACTGTGATTTGGTGATGAAATGTTGCTAAGGCACACATCAGCTACAATTCCCTTATTTCTACATAAATTAACATTCATCGAAACATTTGATAAATTTGGACTATTTTGGTATGATTTCCCATCCTGAAAGTTATCACGAATTACTGCCTTCTCACTTGAATCGATAAAGTTTGGAGATTCATGAAGATCAATGCTGTCTACAACACTTGTGAGGTGATCCTCAAACATATAATCACCTGTGACTTTCCTAACAGATTTCCCATAAGAATGCATCTTCCTTGGACCACCATGCAAGTACATAGGCTCAAATTTCATAGAGTTTTCGAATCCAGATGTGGGATATGAATTACACTTATTTATGGGTAATAGAATCTCAGAAGCCAGGCCTCTATTACAATGCTCTTCTAAATTACAGTTGGGAACAAGCTTTTCAACGATGTCTGATGATAATGATGATCTTTCAAAGCAACTTCTCATACCCAATTTCTCCTCAAGCACCAAATTCTCATCCCCATTTAGTTTCTTTGAATGCACAATTGTGCTAATAGCGGCAGTTTCCCTTCTTCTGAAAGCAACCTCATCTTCAACCAACAACTCATCATGTCCTGACCAATTAGTAACTGAGACACTAGAGGTCCCCACATTTTTCTGCAAGAGAAAAGCACAGTCATATGATTGCAATAAATTTTTGCATTTGTCTAGAAGTCCCAGGGCCTTAGTTATCAATTCTCCATGGAAGTCTGATTCATGGAAAACACCATGAATTGAAAAATAACTGGATTTGTTACCCTTCATCAACAATTGATTCTCCCTCAGATTCCCCATTATAGATACAGCTCTACATTTGCATAAAGAATCATTCGTTGAGTTATAAACCTGACAAAGGTTACGCTTCCCGTTATTGCACAGAAAACTCAAATTTTTCTTTCCATAACGAGTCAATTGCGATTTCTTCCCAGCATCAACGAGTACCTTATCTGAAGTTTTTCCCTCTATATTACCCAACTTAGATATAACACGAACAAATTCATCTTTGAAATATCTATCAGTCTTGCCATCACCTAATCTATCGGTACCCTCCCCAAAACTGAAGTCCTTCACCAAAAACCCTAGAGAACATCCAATCTCACTATCCAATTTGTTGCCACAAACAAATGATACCTCATCACCAATATCCAATCCCCTAATATCACCATTCCCAAGCCTAAAACCATTAACAAATACCCCATTCAAAGAAGCTTCATTACCCCTTGACCCTAAATTGGGTTTCTCAAATTTTGATCCATAGAACCCCCTAATTTGATCCAAACCACTATCAGACGGCAAAACAAACCCATCTACAATGAACAGTTTGCGATCAACCCCATCAAAGAATAACTGGCAATGCCTTTTACTAACCCGGCGATCCAAAAATATAAAATCACAGCAGCTCTTTTTCCTACCAAATGTGTATAACTTGTTGGGTTTCAAGCAGATGGAGTCACCGGTTGAACCAGTGATTGAAGAGACAATCGGAGCATCAAGGCACTTCAAGATCATACATTTTGGGGTGGTAAAAACCCTCCTCTTCTTTTTTGAACAGAGAGGAAACTCCCCTTTTCTCCTCTTTCCTAAATCTTTCGGAGACATGACCACAGAGAGGAGATGGAGCTTCCAAACCAGAATTCAAGAGAAAATTCATGACAAATTCATGAAAATTTCTCTCTCAAATTTTCCAAACACTAAAAAAAGTAATGAAAAAATTATCTTGAAATTATGATCCAAGCATGGAGTAAATTAACAACTAGAATTTTTCGTGCAAAACAATGAAAAATCTAATAATGGAAGAAGAAAAATTGCAATGGGTGATTCAAAATCCAGAATTTAGGGTTCACGTGTAATTTCCGAGAGGAAAACACTGAAAAATAAGTAAAAAATCAGCTTTGAACAAAATAAATAAATTTGGACCAAAAAAATTGAAGATAAAAAACATTACTTACCCTCGACTTGATATTGGAGGAGACGAATTAGGGCAAAGTACGAGCAGGTCTCCTCCCGCCATAACCATTGTTTCGCCCTTTTACTTATTTATTTGAAAACAACCGCCAAATAAACGTCATACATTGTGGTACAAGCATGCCCCTGATGTTTTATAAATTAACAAAATCACCCTCGTAGTTTTTAAATGATATAGAGGCCTTCCATTTTAGGGATTGTATATTACGACGCCATTCATTTTTGGATTGTATATTACGATACCATTCATTTTTGTTATCACAGCTTTTCTTAGCCATTGGCCCCTGATGTTGTATAAATTAACAAATCACCCTCATAGTTTTAAAATGATATAGAAGCCTTCCATTTTAGGGATTGTATATTACGACGCCATTTATTTTTGGATTGTATATTACGATACCATTCATTTTTGTTATCACAACTTTTCTTAGCCATTGGATGTGAAATTTAACATATTAAAAGGTGTTATAACTTTCAATAAAAAAACTTTCAAAATTTGTACAGAGTTAGCGACATATCATTACCCATCCGATTTTCTATCCAATGATTGACAATAATTGTGACCTTTTTGTATCAAAAAATAAATAGTCTTATCGTATATATTCCCTTCTTTTTAATATGTGCTAATAGAGTTGATCTCAATCTCCCTTGCATCCAAAGTATTTTCATTTTAGTTGAGATAAAAATAAAGAAATGTGTAGTATGAGGCTATTTACCTTTGAGGTAGATACAATTAATCTTGATCATTGAATGTGAAATTAGGTAGTCGTATCTATTCTATTGACTAAGCTTAAAATTTAAAAGAAAATTTTTCAAACTTTTTGACACATCTAAGCTATCAGATTTCATATCAAATAGTTATAATAATTGAGCCCTTCTTGTACCAAAGGTAAACGGTTCCTAAAAATAAAGTACTTGTTAAGACTAAGATTTTCACATTTATAGTTAGATTTGTATTATATGTTTTAACAAATTATTGATGAATATATTTATTAGATATTGGAAAAAGTTTATATAAAGATGCAACCGTATAATGTAGAACAACGGATGCACCTCAAAAATCCATCGGAAATGGTAGTTTTAATGTTGAAAAACCCTTTGATTGATCATCTCGACATCGAATGTATGACCATGAAAAATAAAAAGATTTTAAGTCTAAAAAATAGTGCATTTTACAACATATTATCTACACCATCCATTTTCAAGATTTTTATATGTTTATAGATATGTTTTCTAGTAGTTAGAAAGCAAAACAAGATTGTTTACTTTTCTCATTATTAAGTTTTACTTTTTTTATTGTTAACTTTTACTTTTTTTACTCTTTATTGTAGATCTACTTTCCGGTAGTTAAAAAGTAAATACTTTTTTTAAAAAAGTAAATACTTTTTTTATTGTAAATCCAATATTTAATGGCAATTGTGACCTCTTCGTACCAAAAAGTAAACAATCTTGTTTTACTTTTTTTTATTGTTAACTTTTACTTTCATTAAGTATCAAAATAATAAGTACATATGCCAAGTAATTTACAAATATTTATCTATTTATATTAGACAAGAAAGCTCTGATACTCAACAAAGATTTTGTACCACCATGTTTGTCTAGTGCATCTGCCTCCATATTCTGATATTCGCCACCTGCATCCACTTCCACAATTATAATTAATTGCCAAAAAAATTTAGATTTTCATTTCCTTGAGCCGTTTATTTTATCCCCTATAACTATTGTGGCCAATTTTGGAGCAACCTCCTAGAGTAAAAGAAAATTGTTTCATGGGGGCTTAACCACGTTTCTACAATATATGGTCCCAAGGTATAAAGCATCCATCTTTAAATAGGTGGTCCATCTAGCTTTCTATGCTTCCCCTATATCATAGAAATTCTATCTTCTTCCTTATCCAATTGTCCATTCTGAATGGAGGTCCAAGATTGCCCCAATCATAATGTCACGTCTCTACACTATTTTATTTTTTATTTATTTTTATAAACTATTTTAACACCAAAATTTGGACGTCCATTCTTTTATTAAACTCGCACTAGCAAAAAATATAAAAAGAGTTTCTATAAAATAAAATTATCAAAATACCCCTGAAAGTTTTAAAGGGTATTTTGGTAATTATATTTTATCAAAAAATTATTTTTAATATTTTTTATAGGCATGCCCCAATGAGAAGATGACACGTACCAAATTTCATATTCACAAAATAATTTATAAAAAAAACTAAAAATAAAATACATTGAAATGTCGAATCTAAGATCAAACGGTGAGTGGCTCTCTTGATCAAAATTGGATGATTGGATGGTAAGGGGAGGATAGAACTTCTATGTTGTAGGGGAAACATAGAAACCTTTCCCTAATTTAAAAACAATTGGAACTAACAGTCCACATGTTTTCTTAATAGAATTACTATTTCTAATTTTCAAAATTTATTATTTTTTTTACATGATCTCCAGGTTAGAGATTACATATCCCTAAAAATTAAGTCAAAAAATCCATCTCAAAAATATTTTTTTTAAAGGTGATTCATTTCTACATTGACTCATACAAACCATGTCCTATAGTAAAAGTGATTTAGGCAAGGTTTAAAAAAACGTCGAGTCGAGCCAGACTCGCCCGATTCGACTCGGGAATCGCCACAGAACGAGCCTGTTCCCGTCCAGTTCGACTCCAGAATTGCCACAGAACGAGCCAGTTTCCCTCCGGTTCGACTCGAGAATCGCCACAGAACGAGCCGGATCGCCACAAAACGAGCCGGTCTAGAGAGAACCGCGCGGTCTTAAACTAAACGCGGACACGTGCGACAAAATCACGTGCCACATATCACGTGTGAGGTTGCCCTAATGTTTTCGCACGCATGTCTTATTCATATTACATAGGTATTTATATAGCAAAGTTGAATACTCATCCTTCGATGTGGGATAATTCCCAAACATCATTAAATAAAAATAGAATATAAATATATTATATTAATCAGCAACTTATAATCACATGCGGCGAGGCGGGGTGATGATTATGACCTCTGCTATTTCTTTTGATGTCCTAAGGTCGAATCCCCTTGGGTGTTACATTTTTGTTGTATATAGTGGTATACATATTTTTATAAATAATATAAAAGGCATAAAAAAATGGAAAATAAAAAAGTTAGGTATAAATATTTTTGTAAATAATATATAAGGCATAAAAAAATAGAAAATAAAAAAGTTAATTTTTTGTATAGCAGTTAATTTTTGTTGTATATAGTGGTATAATTATTTTAGTAAATAATATGAAAGGCATAAAAAAATAAAAAATAAAATCATGTAACGTACGTATTTTATTAATTTTTACATTGATAACCAAATCCTTTATTTTATTTATTAATTTTTACATTATAAATCATGTAATGTACTATTTTTCTTACAGTTGTTAACAATACATTTTAAATTAGATAATATTATAAATTATTTTTAATTTGTTATTATTTGTCTAATAAAATAATTATAAAATATAAATTAATAATTATAATTTCAGTAAATAATATTATAATTAGTTAGGTTGTAATAATTTTGGATTATAGTTAGTTAGGCTAATAATTTGGGTTTTGTTAGCAGATTAGGGTTTTTCGTCAAAACGAGATTGTAATGGCCATTCTTTTATTGATTTAGTCTACTTTTTATAATAGCCCATGTATAATTATATATTTTATCCATGATAATTCTATGATTTTTCTTTTATGCGATGCAAATTTAATGGTTAACATAAATTTATACAGGAAAGAGAATCTCAATATTTACAAATTGATGAAAAAAATGAAAGTTAATAATATAGTACCTTTATTTCTTATTGGATTCCTAAAAGATAATATTTATAACCATTTTTAATAATTTTTTTGGAATTTTTTTAAAGCTTAATACGACCGATTCAGTCGATTCTCGATTCGGATCGCCGATTCGAATAAGTTTGTTAGATGCCCGATCTGATTCATCGATCCGCTTTTTAAACCACTGGATTTAGGAATAGTACTTGGTTCATCACACATCTGGTGTCACCATCCACATATTACAAGGTATGGAGTGAGTATGAGTAGAGATCCATTCTGCTCATCAGCCTCTTTGACTCTGACTAGGAGGTATTATTCTCTTCTTCCATGTAAGCATACTATATTCATGGAAGGAGAAAAGCATACCTTTTAACAAAGGGGACAATAAATACATTTGAGTCGTGAAAGCATATGGAAGGCTTGTGCGACGGTTACGCGAGAGCATACTATACAATAACTCCTTTGGGTATGGGATTGTATATTACACAATAACTCTCTTTGCATACTTTTTCTTGAAAATAGTTTTCTAGTGACCTTAAAATGGGATCCAAAATTCAGATGAAGTAAGTTATGATAACTAGGGCATTTGATCAAGGGAGTAAATGGATATTTTACTCCTGTGGGAGCACACAGTGTAGGAAAATTAAGAGCACACATCCATCCAAATTTTTCCCACTAATGTTGTATCATACATGATTCCATTCAATCGGTAGGGGTGGCAACAGCTCGGGTCTGGATCCGGCTAGACCTGAAAAAAATTATATAGGACCCAGACACGATCAGACTCGACCTAAAAATTAAAAAATATATATAAACATATTTCATATATTAGGACCCAAAAAATATTACTGGATCCAAACCCCGACCTAGACCCAAAACAGTGCTCGGATCTAAGATTTGAACGCGGACCCAACCCGTCGGGTATCGGGTCGGGTCCGAGTTGGGATCCATTGCCTCCCCTAAATTTCAATGACCAAAATTAATATTCTAAAACCAACCAAATAAAGCACATAGAAATTTAAGATGAATCCAATACCCTGTTTAGAACCAACCAAATAAAGCACACAGAAATTCAAGACCAATGCAATCCCTCAAATACAACAATAAAAAGCAACCAAGTGGCCAACTGATTAAGTTTCCATGTTTCGTGTCGCCGCACTAACTAAAACCCTAGGATCATTATGCCACGTTGCTCCAGTCACGAGGCTCGTTTATTTGGCCACAAATAGCTGTGATGCTACTTA